CACACACACACACACACACACACACACACACACACACACACACACACGCACCCCTCTCCCATGGGGCTACAGAAGGATATGGCAGAGGAACTAGCAGGAGAGGAAGAGAGAGAATCAGAGAGAGAAGAGATTTCCGGGTGCCCCTTGTCTCTTCCCTAAAGAGCTTGGTTTCCCGGCTGTTCAATCGATGACCTCCTCATTCCCCAACATGACCCTGTGTGGCAGATAAAGGTTAAAGGGGGCAAAGGTTATGAACCCACCCTGAGGGTTCATTCAGTAACTGGGTGGGACAGTTAGAGAAAGGAAGGATGTGAAATAGATGGGATGTGACCCTCTGGGTCTGGTAGAGGGGAGGGACTGGTCTAGAGCTGGGTCTGACGGGTTTGGACAACTCACTGTATGCTCTGTCTCCACTCTCCCTCCCGGCCCCCCAGGAATACCTAAGCACCACCCTGGCAGCCCTGCGTTCCAACCAGATAATTACCCTGAAGGTTTGTGGGCTCTGAGGATGGTCTGTGTGGAGCCTGCTCTGCCGAGGAGCATTCACGGGCAAAAACCCCAATATCGTACACCCCGTGGCAGTAGGAAGGGGGCTGGAAGTGGAGTCTTTCCAAACGCAGCAGGGAGCCATCAGCTTGCCCCTCCCCCACCCAGGCAATTCAAATGATCTCCCCAGTGACGAGGGAACCCCACTTTTTCCTGGCTTTGTTCTCAGTTCCCAGGAAATCCATACATATGTACCCTGGTGCGTTTCTACTACTGTATCATGATTATTGTTGACATTCTTCTCATTCTTCTCATCTTATATTTGATAAGAATACTTTATTCTCATCAGCACCTGGTGAAGTGGATAGAGAGCTGCCTCAGAGCCCGGAGGCTATGAGTTCTAATCCTGCCTTTGACACAGACTGTGTGACTCTGGACAAATCACTTAACCTCTTAGGGCTCTAGCCCAATAAGCATTTATTTAGTACCTACTGAGTGCCAGGCATTGTGCTAAGCACTGCTCTAGGCAAGTCTTGGAGCTGCAGGTAAGATGTTGACCTACATTGAGAGACTTCCCTCTCCCCATGAAATCACAGGTCAGGACCCTGTCCTATTTTATCTTTATTATTATTTTACAGAATATATTACATTTTATCGTATCTCTAGTTGCTTTACGCATATTCAGCATATTCAAACAACTGAGACTTCAGAGAAATCTTTGGCCTCTATTTTGAAAACTCTGCTCTGCTCCCTGCTTTAGGGTGAGTGCCTGCTCTGACCACAGTGACCACACCTTCCACGTGGCCCAGCCTCTGCCTGCGTGACCAGGCCCAGGCGTGACCACCCACTGATACCCTCAGATTTGGCCAAGATCTGTCAGGTTCCCATTTTACTCAAAGAAGACCTGAAGGTCACTTAATGTCACAGTGACTTAAAGCAGCAATTTCCTTCCCCCAAGGCTTGCTGGTGGCCGTGAGTCAGAGCCTCCACTGGCTGGTTAACCTCAGCCTGGCATGGTCTATGTGAAGCCCAAAGTAAGGGCAGGCACTGGCAGCACGATATTGGGCCGCTGTGTTTGCCCCTCGGCAAGGCGTGGCTCTCCAAAAGAGCCACGTCAGATGGGCAGGGACGAACGATGGCAGAGGCAGGGAGATCTAGGCAAACCTCTCGCTCTGAGGCAACCTCCAGGGCTAGGGCCGCCAGCTTGCAGATCGGCCCCTTGGTAGGAGCGAGCATCATCTGGGGGTGAGAAAGGACCCAGAAATGGAGCCCCTCTTTCCCTGCTATGCACAGTCCCCCCCCAGAGATTAATGGGGCAAATCCTTAGGGCCTCAAAGTGGGTAAAGGATGACCCCAACTTTACCTGTCCTTTGCATGGTCTCTATTCTCACTGAGGTCCCCAATCTGGCCAGGATAATGTCTCTGTTGGACTCAAAAAATGGACTACCGGGGGACATGGTTATCTGCCAGTGCTGTTTGCCATCACTGGGGATGCTACAGGGCTGGGCCTCTTCTAGATGCCAGCTTGCTGCTGCTGCCTGAGCAGAGATGGCTTCAGAAGACGGAAAGTTATCCAAAGAAGTCTTAACTTAATACATTAATCATTCAATTAATGGCCCCAAAGGTATGGAAAAACACCAGCCCTTCCAAGAAAGGGTCATGGTGCTCAAGGGCCTTCCCCTGGCTGCTCCTGTCGCTTCCTCCTTTTGTCAGGAGGCCCAGGCAAATGACTCTCAGAGCTCCGAGGTTTGTCCTTTGGTCTCCGCTGCAAAAACACTCCTCTGCCCATTGCCTCTTCTCCTGTGTCTCCACTTACGGTTCATCCTCATTAATCTTTCTTTCCTCTCTTCTCTCTCCCTTTCTCTTTCCTGACCTGCCCTTCTGGGATTGTCGGCATCTTCCTGGCTACTTGTGACTTTGGCCTCTGTCCTCTGACCTCCTCAGCTGCTGCCTCTTCTCAATTCGGTGCGGCTAGCGCCACCCCCAGTCATAAAAAGACGCACCTTTCAGGTAGACGCCTTCTCTTGATGCACTCAGTGACTTCTGCAGGGAAGGCTTCCAGGAGGGGGAGGCCAGCCAAGCTTCAGGCCCAACAGGGCAGTGTGACAAGAGCCCCAAGCTTACATAGGGTCAATTCCTCCATCAGATATTAGACCAGGGATTCTCAACCCTTTTTGTGCCATGGACTCCTATGGCAGTTTGGTGCTTCTCAGTATAATCTTTTTAAATAATTGAAGGATATGTTAAATTTCAGTTAGAGGTTAATGAAAATCAAGATGTTGGGTTTTTTTTCCATATATGTTCACAGACCCCTTGAAATCTCTTCACAGACCACTTGGGGATCCATGGACTCCAGGTTAAGAATCCCTGAGCTCTATGGGCTCTTTCAGTTCTGAATCCTGTAATCCAATGGGGTCTGGTCATGACATCCTTTCCCTCTGACTCTGGTATCAAAGCTGGTGAAAGGCAGAGCAGCTGGGTGCTTTCAGTGTTTAAAAAACCCCAAAAACTTAAACAAGCGATCAGCCAAGCTGCCAGAAGCCTCCACCCCTACTTAGGGTATGGAATGTTTGAAATTCTATGGTACTTTAAGGTCTACAAAGCACTTTCCTTAACAATAATTATTTGAGGCAGGTATTATTCCTCCTTTTACAGATGAGGAAACTGAGACTCAGAAACATGAAAGGACTTGACTATAGTCAAAGCTTGTAAGGAGTATAACCAGGTATCCTAATTACAAGTCCTTTTCTTTTTTTTTTAAATTTGAAATGACTTTTATTTTTATCTTTAATTCAATTTAATTTTATTTTTAGTTTCCCACACATTGAGAAAGCAAGAAATAAAAAGGCTGCTAAAAATATGCAGAATCAAGCAAAACAAATCCCCACATTAGTCATGTCCAAAAAAAAAAAACCCCAAACCCCAAACCTCTGCCTCAGTGTGTTCCCTGCACCCACCAGCTCTCTCTGGAAGTGGATAGCATATTTCATCAGGAATCCTCCGGCACTGTGCTGGACTCCATTGTCTTGAGCTGAGTTCCCAAGTCTTTCATGGTTTTTTTGTCTTCTTTCCATGACACAGCCTTTGTTGCTGGTTGGTATAGTTTGGGACTCAAAATCACAGGCCACCTTGTGGGGCCATAAGAAGAGCATTTGTGGATTTGGGGCCAGAGAGAGGACTTTAGGTTGGATCCTGGCTCTAATGGTCACTATTTGGAAGCCCAGGCAAGACCTTCTTCCCCTCTGGGCCTCTGTAAAATGACGGGGGTGGGCCAGAAGACCTCTAAGGTCCCTGCCAGCTCTAAGCCTCTGACCCTCAGAGCTGGAAAGCCATTGTCCCAACATGAAGGGGGCTTAGAGCAGGGGGCAGTGGGAGTACCTACAGTCAGGAGAGCCAGCAGCCCACTGTCTGGAGGGCTGAGAGCCCAGTAACCTAAATAAACATGCATCTCTGTAGTGTCCAGCAAAACCGAAACCAGAGCTCTAATCAATGACTAAAAATACTGAGGGACATCTGATGCATGTGTTACCTGACCCTGGTATGGGCCAGCCAAATCCTAGACAGCCTTTGGGCACTCAGGGACCTTAATCCAGGCATCATTTGGTGGTGAGCAGGGATCTGGGCTCACAGACCAGCTTCAGAGCGGCGCCACTCTTGGCCAGGCCCATTGGCCTCGGAGGCCCCTGGTGTGTCAGGAAATCTCTCGGCTGCTTTCTTTCAGAGGGGCTGCAGCTGGGACTGTGGGTCTTATCTCATGGCCTTCCAAAGTTGCTCTGTCCCAGAGCAAGGCGAGGGAGGGCAGGTGATGAGAGCCAGGAGGCTAAGGCCTGACTCCCTCACTCCCTCCTCATGGGACCTTGGGCAGACCACTCACTCCTCAGAGCCTCAGTTTCCTGCTCTGTAAGATGGGGAGAATAAGAATCCTGCCCTGCCTACCTCACAGAGTTCCTAGAATCATTGCTGTCCATCTACAAGGGCCTTCCGAGGCCATCTGGTCCACCTAACTCCTTTTACTGACACCCAGAGGAGACAAGTGACTTGTCCATGGTCGCATAGGAAGTAGATGAGACTTGAACCTGGGTTCTCTGACACCTTCTCCTATACCAGTCCTCCCTAAACTATAAAGTGTTAGGGTGGTGGGAACGTCCATTCTCATTCCTCTCTCGCCCTAACTGTGGGCCAGGAAGTCCCTTGGACAGTTATCATTATCAGCATAAGAAGGAAGTCCAGCATAATGTGTAGAGTACTGGCTACAGAGCCAGGACAACCTGCTTCTGACACATCATGTTTAATAACATAGATGATGCTACAGCCATAGAATATTCACATGTACATATCATTATATCATATTATTCCTCATTAAAGGAGTGATATATGAGAAGCAACATGATATAGTGGCTAGAGAGTCAGGAAGACCTGGGTTTGAGTCCCACCTGGGACACATTGGGTGGGTGTGGCCTGGGCAAGTGGCCCAGCCAACCCTCTGACTACAGGGTGTAAGATGGCCGCCGATGCCCATTGGTAAAAGAAGGCTCCCCGACAGTGGGCATCTTCCCTATGCTAATGAAATAACCAGTCTGGTCCAAATACTAATAGAGTCTCACCCTTGTACGGTGTTTACCAAGCTTTTCCCTTCAACAGTTCTACAGTCTAGATGATGGTGGCCGCTGACATTTTTATATCACGCTAAGGTTTACTAAGCCCCTTACATACATTATCTCATTTGATCCTCACAGCGATCTAAGATTCTTAGAGGGAGGGAGTGCAGGTATATTTGTCCCCATTTCATCGATGAACAAACCAAGACCCAGAGACCTGAGGTCACCCAGTGAGTTGCTGGACCCCAGGACGTCAGAACCCAAATCCAGGACGCTACCTACTAATGCTCGAACTAGTTCTACAGCCTGGGGTCGCTGATCACCAGCCCCAGCTCTTGGCCCTAAACCAGAAAGAGCCGGTTGTTTA